CCCACTTTCTCTCACCTCCAACTAGAAGTATTTGGCATGGAGTAAGCATTTTATGGCTCTCATATCGAATTTTTACTCCATAAAGAGCAAACAAATCTTTTTAGACATTCCTACCTCCTTAATTAGTATCCGTATTCGTGACACAACAATCCCAAATTCGTGTCCTTAAGGTGAATCGGCGTGTTCGCCTACTTTGTCGGACTGTCTTCTCCTTTAGAGGATGTAAGAGTAAATCAGCTCTTTTGTCACTTTCTGGTCAATGCGAGGTGGACTTCTGCAAGCAAGCCCAAGTTTTGGTAAATATTCCGCAAAGTGAAGCTATCTTCTCACTTGGTAAAAATTTATTTGATCTTAATGTTACAAATTTGTATACCGTAAGAAGTCTTAGACCCTGTCACAGTTATGTTTTGCTCTGAGCCATTTCTATTATCATTAATCTAATTAAATTTGGCTCGAAGCCATTAGTTTTTTCAGTTACTTAATTTGACGAAGCAACTTACTTTTCGCATTACCCTTGAATGTCACATTTTTCTCTTATATAAGATGCATTCATCTTATTTCGTCGAAGAGGATGAAGGACTGGTTGTTGAATTTTCCCACAATGATATGAGTTGAGCAGACGTTTCCATTGAAATTCAACTACCTTAAACGAAATAGGCTGAATACATCTCATATTTGCCGGTAGTCCCGAAACTCTGTTTGTAAACGGAAAATATTTTTATCCTACCATTTTGTACCAACGAAGCCCATCACGAACGGACTAAGGGAACTTGTTTGTGCTATGAAGATCTTGATTAAATTTTTTTTTCCAAACAAGTCGCGTTATTCTTGTCGTTCTGACCAACGCCAAATACAACCAACTTGGCTATATTTTAGTGAATGATGCAAGGTATTGTAAATTGCTTCTTTTTGAGTAGTCTTCATGTTTACCTTTGGTTATGCTCGATCATGCTGCTTTTCTTAGCAAGGTATCTTGCAAGCTAATAGTAGAATATAATATGTATTTACGAAGATTAACTAGGTTTCAATGAATCTTCCTAGTACATTGTTGGGGAGATCTTCATCTCGTATGGAAGTGCATGAATAAGAGATTCGTAGGTTGATATCCCCAAAAGACGTTGGCTGATTCGCAGCCGTCTGGCGTTTATTTTGATGCAGTCCTCTAGACGTCCTCCAACATTTCGGGCGAACACATACTGAGCTTTCGTTCGTCATGCCACAAGACGAGCTGGGACTCATTCTTGTAAAGGCCTCAAGTTAACTCTAATTCAAGAAGATTTACTGGCTTTTTTCTATATGATGTATGTACTGATTGCGGATATGTTTAATTAATGCATACTCGAGTATGTGTGTACACAAAAGCCGTCATAAATTTGAATAATTAGCAAAAAAGCTTAATATCAGCCCTGGGTCATCAAGACCTAATGACCCAAGAAAAAAAGTAAAGTAAAAAGGATGATCGAGATTGGGTTAATTCGTATATCACCATGGTTAAATTGATTATATGTTGACGTGTACGCGTGAAAGTCAGGTTAGGAAACAACCGGTTCGAACCCTTTATTCTTGATTATTAAGATTTAATGACTAAATGAGAAGCATTTCTGGGATTATGTAGACTTGTTGAACGAGTGCGACAAGTTGAGTCATCTTATTTTGAACGGCTGCGCAACACCCTCCCGCTCCTTCAATTATTCAAAGTAATTCTTACTCAACTTTTTTCCATCATTTCTCACATTCAACGTATTTCCTAATGTATTAATTTCAATAACCTCTCTTATCTTGTGTTTCGTAGCAGGCATACTATAATCAACAAACCTCTGCGTATGAGAACATTTTATCTCATGTCCAGTTTCCGTCATGCAAGTATAACGCAAATCACCCAATGTCTTCTGGTGAGGTTGATTTACGAATCTCGCCTTCCGAAAAGGTTCTTTTAGTTTTCGTACCTTTCCATCCGATGGATGAGTAGACGAGCTGATCTTAAGTCCAAGAGAACTGATGCAAGCCCTGATGCAAATACTTGGTGAATGTGGTGAAGACAGACAAGCCATTCATGTTAGAAAGGTCAAGGATGCGAGTTATCCCCGTGAAGTAAGCCAGTCTCACTGCTTATTAAGTGTCTGAATGTACTTTTTTTCCTCTGCTCATTGTGACCCTGTCAGAATCTCTCGTTCAAGTCAGGCTAAAAAAGATTTGTCTCTTAGAAACCGAAGTAGACGGCTTATCTTCAGCTGTAGGCTGGCTGTGCTTGTTCAAGATGGCAACTTTTATTGAAGACTGTTTCGAGAAGGCCGGGCTTCTCTGTGGACGTGTGCTTGGGTGGGTATTTCCTGGGATTTAAATAATAGGACAAGGTTTCAGATTAGGAATTGAACTTCTCTAGTTGTCTTCCAGTAATGCTGCTATTATGGCAAACGATTAAGACATGATTAACCTAACTTCAATATAAGTCCATTCCACTGGTCAGTTGGAGGCTTAATGCACCTCAATGACTTTGTGAGATTTTCCAAAGGAGGTCTATTTCTGTCACTCCTTATTTTATTATTACTATTTTAAATGCTAAAAAGTTGTTTGACCTTGTTTCCGCAACTCGGTCATTTTGGTAGGAAGACTTAGAGGAACGCACCTAGTCCGAGTCCATTGTATGCATCATCATTTTAAGAGTAGGACCGTGGACGTGGTACATTCTCAGACGTTTCGCCGGCATCGTCTCGTCATTCGCAGCACCATATTACAACTCGTCAAAGAGACAAGTGAAGCCCATCCTTTGACCAAACGTTTGCCAAACAGTTGTGGTATCTCCCTAAAGAAGGACTACGTAACAATATGACAGACTTTGGTCAACATTCCCAGGACAAGGGTGAAGGGGGTGATAACGACAGTGGGGAGTGTGAAGGGTTTTCATGAATGCCGCTCGAAGGAGCACACAACACTACATCAAAATAAACACAGTAAAAATGGTGACAGCGAGGGTGTGATAGAAGGATATATGAAATGTGAACAGCCCAGGGCAGAAAGGGAGATACCACAACTGTTTAGCACACGTTTGGTCAAACGATGGGCATCACTTGTCTCTGACAAGTTGTCGAATGGTGCTACGAATAGCGAGACTTACTGAGGATGCCGGCGAAGCGTCTGTAAAGGTACCACGTCCACGGTCCTACTCTGGAAATGATGATGCATAAAATGGACTCAGGACAAGGTGCGTTTCTCTAAATCTTCCTACCAATATGACCGAGTTACGAAAACAATGTCAAACAATTTCTAGATGGGATCTTGCTCATGCCCAGTAAATACCCACCCAAGCACACGTCCACAGAGAAGCCCGGCCTTCTCGAAAAAGTACAGCCAGCATACAGCTGAAGATAAGCCGTCTACTTCGATTTCCAAGAGACAAATCTTCTTTAGACTGACTTGAACGAAAAATTCTGACAGGATCATAATGAGCAGAGAAAAAAAAGTACATTCAGACACTTAATAAAGAGTGAGGCTGGCTTACTTCACGGGGATAACTCGCATCCTTGCCCTTTCTAGCATGAATGGCTTGTCTGTCTTCACCACATTCACCAAGTATTTGCATCAAGTTGCGAAAACAAGATCAAACAACTTCTGTACCACGAAAGGAGCCTGCGATCACACAAACGGACGCACTATCTTGGGCTTCATACCTTCGAACTTATCATCTTTGATGGTCCCATCGAAATGTAATCTCTTTGCTTTGACAATGTTGATTTTACCCATTGTTTACTTGCTCAATTTGGCTTGCGGTGTGTGTTAAGTGCAGCAGATTATTTATTGTTTGCAGTCAAATTATTTGTCTGATTTTTCCCCATTAGGCCGATATCATCTATCTTCAATCTGTGACAGATTCTCCACCCATTCCGACTGGTCAGCCGGCTGACTTGCTAACTCCACGAGCTACCCTCAGTCTCCGACGGGCGATTGGCCTGCTCCGGGTCTCCAAAACCTCTGGCCAGCCACCCAGAGAATCCCCACCGCCAGCCGAGAATGGTGCCAGTGGTTCGGTGGACTGGCGTAAATTTGACTCCTTCCTGGGCTCAGCAGCTGAGACCAGGCCGTCGGTGCTCGAGCCAGTAAGCGACTATAAGTTATCCTCGACTAGAGAGGCCAGGTAGCCCATAATCATGGGGTCCTGTCATTCTCACCAACTGTTTTCTTCATGTTTCAGTTTGAAGGATAGAAACATTCCAGTTGAACCAAGTCGAACGTACAATCTGGCATCGAGATTTTTCTGAGAATCTTAGTCCCAGTTGAAATATATGAATAAACGTTAAGTGATTGGACTAAGATGCGCAAGAGGTATGGGCAAAGTTAGCATTTGGGTTATTTTGCGCCCAGCTGGAGGTCAACTAGTTTCGCTATTATCATGATATTGTTGAAAGTCGAATCGGGAGTATTTGAAGAAAAATCATCAGTACACCAGAGCTTCATAGCCATTAAAAAGGTAATATTCAAGAGTAATTATATTTTCAAGAAAAGGATCACTTAATTATTTCGCGTCGCTGGGCATTTCATGTCATCAACAAAGGTGAGTGTTAGAGTAGAGTTTCGAGACTACCACTAAATCAGTAGTATGAGATGATGAAGGACTGGTAGTAGAATTTTCCCAAACTTTTGGGAAGGCAAGGCTATGTGAAATTCAATGCAAACGTCAGCTCAACTCATATGATTGTGGGAAAATTCGACTACCAGTCCTTTATCACCTTAGATCTCATAAAAGTGAGTGGAATTGGTTTACCGTTGGCCTCTAATTATCATCCATCAGTGCTGAGCTTTGTTAGATATCATCAGGGCGTTAAACCACCTTCTAGCTAATATTCACCAAATACTTATTCAAGAAGGGAGATTGGCGAATTTTGTTTAAATAATTGCCTTATACTCTCACGAGATCTGTCGCAAATTGGTCGAAAGCTCAACACGGTTTCGTTGTCTTCGCAGTACTCTTCATCGAGGAGTCTCGCACAAATCAACAATCACATCTTCGTGGCAAGACTTTTAAAGTAAATAGTGGTCTAATCGCCAAGGTGAGTCTTCGAAATACCATCTTTCTTAATTTATCCGAACAAGTCGCAAGAACAGCTTTATGTCGCATCATCACTATGATCCTCGAATGCTTGTCCTTGTATTTTGATATCCGCTTTCGGTTTTCTTTTCGGAGTTTTCACTTATGTTTTTTACCATATCTCCCCTTAAATTGTATGGTATGTGAGCAGCTACTTCCTTTCGCGTGGCTCCAGCCAGTGTTATATGCTAATTAAACTTTTTTCATCTCAATAATTATTTATAAAATCGAAACCCCACTTCATAAGGGTTGTTCTAGCAAAAGACATACGGGATTAGACGTTTTGAACATTTATATTTTCTTGCAGACCCGTTCAAGACCGAGATATACTTTAACCTGATAAATATCCTATAGATAGCTAGATCCGTTTACCCATGTGGATGCCATCCTGTATTCTTTAGCCTACGTCTGCGCCGGTGAGTCCTGGGGATAGCATGCAGTTGTGGTGTGTTCACTGTCCGTTGATATGGGCCGACTTTGTGACGCGCATTTTCACAGTCCAACATGCCGATTCCTCTTCTCACCAGCCATCAAGCCTACACCAACCTCAAGTTGACACTGGCCTTGGTCGTCTCGACAGTTTCTCGGATGATCCTGCGTCCACGGCGAGAAGTCGAAGCCATCTTGTTGATGAATCAAAGACCATCTGGAAGACACGTACGGTGCGCCAGCCATTCTGCGATCCGTTGCCACTAACGCTTTGGCTCCTCCGGCCCCTGTTCGAGGCAGCAAAAGCATTTACCGACGACCGACCAGAGTTGTCCAAGTCCAACTCGCACTCCCACCTCGAGCCAGCTTCCGCTGTCCTGTCCAACTCAACCAAAGTGGAAAGTCTTTCCACCGGAGGCATGTTATTATTGGTCGACCTGGAGGCATTGTCAAATCCCCTCGACATCCGTGCATTGGGCACTCTGAATGCCTGTCTCAAGTATGCTTCTAGGCAAAAGACATTTAGGTGAGTGAAAAGCTATTTTTTATTATTTACAGTCCCAGTTTTTATGTGGCTATGGGCCAACTGAACATTTAGAACTTTTCACTTTACCATTTCAACAAAGTCGTCACTTAGACTGTGAACAGGTTTCGATGGATGATTGTCCGTTTTCAGCAAAGAACTACGCTAGCTGAACGATGAAAAGAGACAGTGTTGACGGTTTTCTGAAATATTGTAAGAAAATTGCTGTACTCGAACTGATGAATGCTGACTTTCTCTACGGAATCGAGGCACCATGTTATGCTGTTCATGAACTAACTCGGCGCACTAGTACACTACTTTGTTCCACAATAATGCTGCATCGTCGAGTTGACTCTTTATTAATTTTTATTGTCATTTAATGTCGGTTAAAGAATTCCTCGGTGATATATTGACATGACTTTCCATTTTGAAAGAATAGTTGGTTGGAAGGAATTCGTGATACGGTATCACCGGGAACTGGGTAGGTAGGATTATTATATTGTTCGTAGACTTCCTACGACCCCGAGGAACCTGTGCCAAACTTTCGTCTATACAACCGTGACAGATATCATCAAAACGTAAATGTATTATTTACGAAATAGAGCAAAAAATGTACTAAACCAAAAGAATGGTGCTCGACTGCAACCCTAGTCTCAGGATTTGGTTGGTTACTGCAAACGTACTCTACATGCTTGCAAATAAACTAACGTCCGATCTTCTGATGCTGTATCATATTTGAGTTTGTGCTATTTTCCATTGCACGTATGCAATGTTCATGTCACGAAAGATGTGATATAGTCGCAGCTTAACTCGGGGCTAATCCGGCCTTTTCTTGCGCAGTGTATTAGACATGTTTTCAATGAGCTCAGAATTTTGGACCCATACACCTTTACAAGCGTTTTTTTGCTCGCATAGTCGCTTCTTGATAGGACGGCAGGTCTCTCCAACATAGACCATACCACATGAGTTGGGACTATATCACATCTTTCGCGACATGAACATTGCATACATGCAATGGAAAATAGCACAAACTCAAATATGATACAGCATCAGAAGGTCGTACGTTAGTTTATTTGCAAGCATGTAGAGTGAGTTTGCAGTAACCAACCAACCAAATCCTGGAATGCCTCATCATGCGAAGTTGGGTGTATAAAAAAGCGACTAGGGTTGCATTCGAGCACCATTCTTTTGGTTTAGTACATTTTTTGCTCTATTTCGTAAATAATACATTTGTGTTTTGATGATATCTGTCATGGCTGTATAGACGAAAGTTTGGCACCAGTTCCCGGTGATACCGTATCAAGAATTCCTTCCAACCAACTATTCTTTCAAAATGGAAAGTCATGTCAATATATCACCGAGGAATTCTTTAATCGCCAGCGAGAGAATCGGACATTAAATGACAATTAAAATTAATAAAGAGTCAACTCGACGATGCAGCATTATTGTGGAACAAGTTTGTGTTTCTAGTGCGCTCGAACCTGAGCACAAAACCGTGTAGCAAACTGAGGTAGAAAAAGGGCCAGAAAATCCTCTGAATGAAGGAATTATTGAAGAAAGTGTTAATTTCTCTTAATACGTTGTTCTCATATTCCACTTCTCCAGTAGATCACACAACTTTTTTGCAAGCCCGCCCCAGATAGCAAGCTCTTTTCATTGGGCTATTGACAAGTGATATGTAATTGTCTACTAATCCTAATGGGAATTGTTTTCAAACAATATATGCCTCAATCTACTGATCTCCTGATCCATGTGGTTTACGCCTTAAAGACGTAAACTCCTATTGTGACTATACATGTATGGTTGGAGAAGAAATTTATAATTCCCCAAAAATGCGAAGGCAAGAAAGGTGAAGCCGGCCATTTTTTCTTGCCTTCGTGTTTTTTGTGAATTATCCTTAAGCATGTTGTTCTGCTCTGACGATGTGCATCACATGACGGTCGAAAGCTAAGCAAGGATTCATCGGGTTCTCAGGGCGGTGCGCCGAGGACCTATTCGCTTAAATTTACAACCACAAACCCACAGCCTTCGGTGTGACCAACTTACGAATCCCTTCCACCCATCTCTTTAAACGAAGGGATTCTTCGAAACCCACTTTTTCTACAAAAAAGTTATAGTCGTCTGGATATGACAAAATTCATTCTCGTAATTACAAACAGATTTCCCATACCTGAACCATGGTCCGACATTGGTTAAGCATACTCCAGGAGTGAACTGATAGGAACATATTGGGAATTTCCTGTGTGATTCATCATAAGCCCATAGGGTAGGTCAGCTTTGCCTAAATAATTGGCGAATGCCCCATAGCAAATGTTATTTTGATTCACGGTCTAGGAAGTCTAGAGTTTTTATTTTATGTTTTTGTTTGTAGAAATAAATTTTACTTGCTTATTCTTACTACTATCAACATTCGTCGTCTACACTGCCTGAATCGAGTTTAAACTAACCTTAAGTCGTTTTCGATCTCCCCATTTCAGGCTGTAATAACCAAGCGAGTGATTTAGAGATATTTTCGACTCAGCTTTTGCGTCATGGTGAGTCTGGATATTAAAAAAAGCCTTTTCTTAAGTCGGCAGATATCCCGAATGTATGAAAGGCTACAAATACATCTTTAGGGGAGAACAATGCATGAATTACTACCGTTTCGCTGACCCATTGGGTCCCTAAGTCGGGCCACGCTTGCTTTTCGGTCTTATCGGACATGGGCAAAGACATGATTCGCTTCCTAAGGTTTAAGGAGTAGAGAGACGGTTCTTCGAAGAAGCAGGCCGAGGAAGACCCAAATAATCGGGATTCGTAATTCAGGATTGATTTAGGGAATACACGGAGAGTCATAATGGCTACAATAAAGGTGGAAAAAATTATTCCTCCTATTCATTGTCTTTATTGTTCAAGAAGGACCTTTTTCTTTTTCGGCTTACAAAAGTTAGTAGTAACTTATGAATCATCCATACTTTGGGTCCAATTTTGCATCGAAATTCTCCACACCATACACACAACAATAAAATGCCTTTAGAGACAAAATCGAGTCTTCCTTTGGATGTATCTTGGGTTTAATGCCTTCCATTTCTTGTAACATTGTACTGCAATGATAGTAATCACTTTTTCGTAATTATCAAGGCATATAATTTTAAGCACAACCACTTTTTTTCTATGTTCTTTCAGCGCAACGATAATCAAAAGATTTTATTAAATTTAACCTAAACCCCAAAAGTATTTGTGCTGATTTTTTAACTTATTCTAGATTCTACCTCGGCGCCGAACCTCACAGCCAACATCTTCGCACCTCCACTGTCTCATCTTCCTTGTCCCATCCTCAGATTTCCACCAACCAATGCAAGTCCTGCGCCCCAACATTAAATTCTAACATGTCAACAGCTGCGTCCACACAATCAGTTTTTTCTTCATCCACCTGTCCGTCCGTGACAAAGCCTCTGCCAGACGCCCTCGATCATTTGATCTTTCTGATCGGTTTAGCTGATCGGGTAGCTCGCATTCAGGCTTGTCTTGGTCTAGACTCCCGGCACTTTACTCTCAACTCATCTTCCAACTTGTCGGAGTCCCATCTTGTTATGCCGTCGTCTAAGGACTCCTTGCTGGAGTCCTGCATTACTGATGACGCTAACAAGAGTATGCCAATCATGTCAATTTTCTGCTGTCTTTGCCGACCTCTGGAGCTGCAAATTACTTTGCCCGATCCTGCGACAGAATCATCTCGCCTTCGGGCTGCCGAGACTGACGAAGAGAATGAAGAAATAAAGTCGCAATCGCAAATAGAACTGTCCACCTTTCCAAAGAATCAGTCATATTTAAGCTCAACCAAACATCCATTCAAGCACTCTTCTTCGCTCGCCCTCCACAACATCTCCGAATCACTTTCACAACAAAAGCAGGAGCAACTTGCTCTTGCAATAAATTCTGTTTGTTCCGAAGAGACCGCCGACTCAGTTGAGCCTGGCTGCAGCACTCCAGTCGATGTTCAATCATCGCATAGTCAGAATTCACATTCGCTTTTTGCCGACCCAACCACCCATTTGCCGGCCAACGGGTGCCTGGAAGGGGATGCTGCATCAATGTTTTTTGGGGTGCATGCTTCTGTACCTGCCTCGGCGGCCGCTTCATGTTCCCCCAGTTCCTCAATACTCTCAGTCTCTTCGGTCTCATCCAATCTCTCCTACGGCCTCCATTCCCGCTCACAATTGCAAACCTCGAAGTCGTCGAACTCAACTGCTGCACATCGGCATGACGCAGGTTCTATTAATGATTTGAAGGTATCATCAGCGTCCAGAAAATTGGATTCACCCGAAGGGATCTGGCGAAATGATTTGGCTGAACATAAACGGAAGGCTATGCCGTGCAGTCGCTCTCTAGTCAGTTTGTACTTATACGCTTTATATCATTTTCATTACAGAAGAACTTGAGTCTGATGGAAGGTTTGATAATTGAGTTTCTCATAATTAAATGAGTAAAAAGGTTATCCTAGTTATTACGAAAGACCTAATAATTTTGAGTCCTACCCACTGCATCCTATTTTTCTTATTGCGATTTATTTTCTCGGACATTTCAATGAATAGAAAAAACCCTAAGTCAGGCTACAGATGACCT